TGTACAATAGAGGGATATACGTGTCCAGAATCCCTTATTTGGCTATTGTTATTAGATCGCACATAGTCATTATCCAATCCGATGACAGAACAACAAAACATGCTGGTTTATTACGTTTACAATTTATCACAGACACTTGGTTTAGGTCAATTTACCTGTCATAGTTTTCTACATTTCAGACTTTAATAATGGTCAGTCAAGTCTGTTTGTACTTATTAATAAGCATTTATTTTCAGCATTTACGGTTTTTAGGATAAGAAATGCACATGAAACTTGTATTCACTGATACTCGGGAATACGCGTAGACCGATACTGGCGATAGCGAATTGCTCACTATACACGCTACCAAACTAACTTATGTATACATGTATTTATCAATTGTTTACATGTATAACTGTATGAAAATTTTACTGTAATCTCGGAAATTGTACATATGTAGATCCGTGTCTAATCTGTGACTCAAATGCATAAAAAATATCTGAAGCAGTAAAATTCCAAGCATGTTTTCATAGTATTTTGATGGTACTCACTCGTAACGAATTTCATTTAGCTGATTGGTCAGTTAGAGAGTATTGCTAGTGCCTCGATTAGCATATGAATTTATTCTTACGTCAGAAAATCTAGTTTTGTCGATCTGTTCATAATGCACTGTAGGAAAGCGACTGACCGTAGTATATACTACAGTCATCAAAACATGTCGGCCGAGGTCACCGGTTAGAATTTTTCAGTCAAGATTTTAAACAATTGCCAGGTTATCTGTGTTTATTCTTGCAAAATTTAAATGTACACTAATGAAAACTTGCTATTGGTTATTATAACTTACTTGAATTAAAAGAAATAAAGCTGTAGTACAACCTCAAAGTTTTTGACTATGATGACCGTAATAACCACACAGATGACGACCGTAATATAATCATAGAGATGACCGTAGTATATGTACAAAATCAATTGAGACGAAAATATCTTATTCAATATCAGTAATAGATGTTCAATACAGATTACATTATACAAGATCTTATACTATTCAGAATGGAGGTCATAAAAAGAACTGAAAAGTTTTAAATATGATTGATTAAATACTTATCGATAAGAGAAGCCACGGTTGATTTAGAATGTTTAAACAAAGTATTTATGAAAAAATCTTTAAAAAAAAGTAACAATTGCAATTAACCTTATTAAATTTTTTTTGTATTTTTATATACATTATTTATATCAAAATAATTATTTATAATTGCGACTATCAAGTTTATTTTGCATTCTTCAGGAATAATATTAATGGTGCGACCATCACTACTTTGTAAGTCCTAGTCCTATCTGAAAAAGACAAACCTCGCCTTTCAGACAGGTTTGCAACCGTTACCAAATGATAGCAACTCATCATTATATTTCATGTTATAAACCGTCCTTTGTTTATAAAACTGGCGGATATCAAGCAACAAGTGGAGTGCAATATTGTCATGTTTTGATGTTTTTCATTAAGGCACAAAAAGTCTTCCAAACGACCAATTTCTTCCATTTTCCTGATAACATCATATCAGAAAGAACACCGTGAATTTCACTGCTTTCTGTGTTAGTCTCAGTATATTGTCCAGTCTCACATTGCTGCTGACGTTTACTTTCCATTGGCGTCGGAAGCAATTTGAAAGTGTTGGGGGGGGGGAGCTAAATGTAATTATATATTTTTTTTAAAGAAAACCTGACAAGCAAAAAAAAAAAAAAAAAAAGGATGAACATTTCCCAAAAGGCGAAAAAACTTATTTCGTGGGAGGGGGGGGGGGGTGAAAACTTTGTACCTAAATTTTTTTCCAAACACCAAAACTTTACCCATCTTTAACCTATACGGTGGAGTGTCTGTGGAAAGTGGGAAGGGGGGGCTAAACCTACGAAACGGGGTTCAATGTCTATACTAAGTATATCTAAAAAAGTAGGGAGGCTAAGCCTTTAAGTTCAAAAAGTATATAGGAAACTGAATGGAATTATTTATAGTTTTACCCGTTTCTGCAATAAGTTCCAATTTACGTTTGCTGGATTTTTTCGCTTCCAAATGGTGAAATATGCTATGAACACTGGCCAAACTTCTAAGTATTAAGTTTTAAAGAACAAATGCAAACAATAAATGATTTCTTTAATTCTTGGTTGATGATGCATATTCAAGTTCAATCGCATAAATTTCATGTAGTATTGTCAGAATTCTCTAAGCAAAGTGTATTGGAAAACGTATGTATCCTCAAAATGAAAATTCGCACAAAAAATCTCATGGAGTAGGACCACCACTCGCTCTAATTACTTCAAGACAATCTTTACTTTTGGATACCATGTATCCCTGAAAGGAGATTGACCAATCTGCTACCACACCCACTACTGTATAGTTCTTTCGAAACCGTCGATATTGTGTGGAAAGGGAAGGCTTTGATTTTTCTCATAAAATCTCAAATGTGTTCAATGGGATTCAGATCCGGGAATTTGACGGTGTATCTTTACACTGATGCCTTGTAGTCAATATCCTAGGGTGTGAAGTATTTAAGTGCACCGATTCAGACTACTTAGACTGTCACGAGGACCATTTTTTTTTTCGTACGATTGAAATTGTTTGATTACATGTTTCAAAGATTGTTTCTGGACAATTTACCACCCTTTTACCCTGGTGTGAAGCGAAATTTTGTCATCAGACGAAGATCAAGGTCACTTCCGGTTTTGATGAATTGTGTTTAAAACTTTCAAATTGTCTTATTTTGGTGATCGATGAAAAATGACGTACAACATAAAGAAAAATGTGCTTAAATGGGTTTTGATACTGTTGGTTAATTTTTAAAAGTAATACCATATACAAGCACAAGTACAACTAGAGAGTCTACTATTGCTAGCGATAGCATATGTCGCCCCGAACTGTTCCTCTTTTTCCATGGCAACTATTGATAATTTCGTACAAAATATCATTTTTTTGTATCACAAAACGATTCCCATCTGCTAAGCTTGGACAACCATCAATTCGTATCAGTCATTTCAGTACTTTGATTTAAAGGTCAAAGTTAAAGAATTTTCACCTTCCTCTAGTTTCCATGGCAATAATCGATTATTTGAGAATTTTGAATGCGAATCGCACAACTACAATTACTAATCAGTAAAATAAAAAAGTTTCATGACGAATGTTCAAGGGACCACAGAGAACACTTTCGACTATAAACTATAGTTTACAAACCAGGACCTATAGTTTTCATCTGTAAAACGATATTTAACGGTTGTTGACTTGTTAACGGTTGTTTACGAATGGTAATCTAATTAAGATTATCTGTCTTTGATAAAGCGTTTACATGAGATTTTGTTGATAAACATAGATTCATGTTTGTTAACTACATGTATAATTTACAATCGTAAACTATAGTTAAGAGTTGTTAATCATAGTTTCACATATCGTGAAACTATATCAGATCGTTAACTATAGTTAAGAATTGTAAACCATAGTTTACAAATCATGAAACTGTATTGTTCAGATGATCAATGTTTGGGAATCGCAAGAAGAGTTACGGTTGTGAAACATAGATAATCGCGCTAATTATGGTTTACAGATGTAAAATATAGATTATAACGCTGTTAACTATAGTTTAAAGTCCGTAAACTATAGTTTACAAGCGATAAACCTAGTTTATCGACTGTGAAACTATGCTTAGCTCAAAAGAGAACACATTAACTTATCTTTATATATATATTACGGTCATCCTACTTCATTGGAAAAATCTATATTACGGTCATCTTAATATTTTGTTACGGTCATCATTGTCAAAAACTTTGAGGTCGTACTACAGCTATATTTCTTTTAAATTCAAGTAAGTTACAATAAACAATAGCAAGTTCTCATACGGTTACTTTTAAATTTGGCAAGAATTAACACAGATAGTCTGGCAAATGTTTAAAATCTTGACTGAAAAATTCTAACTGGTGACCTCGGCTGACATGTTTTGATGACCGTAGTATATACTACGGTCAGCCGCTTTCCTACAGTGATAATGGGAAAGGCCGGCTAAATTTTACAGTTTTTTTTAAAAATAGCATGTGAGCGCAGTTAGGTACAATTTTGTCCTTTTACATATATTGCGGATATAGGTAGAATTCAATAAAATCCAGTGACTAGCTAAAGGAGAAAATTGTACCTAGCTGCGCTCGTATATTTTAAGGGCTTCAAAGAGTGGGGCGTGGTTAAAACGCAATGAGAATTGGATGTAAACATGATACCCCTACCCCAATAATGCCTCTATATCTTTTAAATCACGTTTCTATTTTTGTTAAAAATAGTATTCCATAAAGGTACACATATCTTGTTTCTCGTTGTGCTTTATATGTTGTTGCATTTGAAAAAAAAAATAATATGAGTTTCTGCAGCATAAAAATTCTTCTTTTAATCTGCTACACATTTAGGGAAAATAACAAAAGAACTGCAACACCCTCTTTTAACGTAGAAAAATGAAACCTGGTGAATGCTAGTATTCTACAGGGGTCGCTTCATCGTTACACCAGTCGAATCCCGGAGACCGGTCCTTCGAATGAGACCGAATATACCTAGTCCCGTGTCGCAGTAAGTGCTGGCACAAAAAAGATTATCACTGCTCAGTGGCCCTGAGTGTAGAAATAAGTTTAAATTGGAAGCCCTCCACCGGCAAGTGCACGGTGGCTTCTCAAAATGAGTTTAAAAAAATCGCGAAAGGGATGTTTTACAGACAAACAATTCTCATCAAGTTTTATGCTGGCACTGATTAAAACAACAACAAAACACGTATAACACTTAATTTTACAAGACTGCATCACATTATTATGTTTTTCATGTATATAATTAGATTGATCTCCAATTGCATAGTATATTCATGCTTTAAAATCATTATGAGCAAAATACATGTATAAGCATGAAGGGGCATCCTAATGCATATCATGGGGTATCTATCGTCAGATCATGCCGGATTTTCATTCCGGACAGTAAAGTTTTATTTGATTCAAATATTTAAATTAACACTAGCGCGATACTGAAGTGTTGTGTACATTATAAACGATATAAAACAAACAAAAATTTACGGAGGAGCTGAGATTCGGGATAGGGTTAAACAGTTTACACAACGTAACCGTGGGTCAGGGTTGATCGCATCTTGGAGGAAATCAATTCTGGATATCGCCTCTGCCTAGGTGGTAAGTTCCATCATAGAATATGAAAACAAATTTGGAATTTCATTTTTCGGCATGTACTAATATTTCAGGTCAAAATAAAATTATTGTTTGTTTCGAATTGCCTCCCGCCTCATTAAAATGTCCCCACCTAAAAAAAATTATTTAGCAAAACTAAGAAGTTTTTTTTATTTAATCAATTCTTGGCCTGTTATCACATGCATCACACAAAACACATGCAGTGTCAGATCTGGGCAAAGTCAGGATTCTTTGCTGATTGTAGATACCTTTTTTCAAAAATTCAGAAAATGTGTTTTTTAATGTTTATTGAGATTTTTATTAAAAATGTAAAATTTATCTTCAATTTTGAAGGAAAAAAAAAATTTCCGCCCTCCCTCCATCCTGTGTCTGAAACCCTCCAGGCGGCAATTCCAAACAAACATTTTTTAAGGGTGGCCTCATTGTTAAAGAAGGAACTTCTTTATTCATTATTTTGTTTAATTTGCAATTAGTTTTCATTCTAAATATATAAGATCTGCATGTAACATGATTTACAAAGACATTCGAATAGAAGGACTCCATTAGAATATATATATTTTACCATTTCCAGGAAGAAGCCTGCTTCCTTGAAATACTGTAGTTTTCGATTATCATGCATATGGCATCCTTTTTCTCTCGATCTGGCATCTTAACCTTTGTTGCTCTACCCCTGTCATGTAAGTATAAAAACATATTTATATTTAGAGATGAATAATGTCATTTATTAAAATGACGGTATAAATGTGAACAATTTAACAAACAAGAAGGGGATCAGATTCACAAGCTTTGATTAGCAGTTACGTAAAATATGATAATGTCTGATCCCCCAAAACTGACTAGAAAAAGTATCTGTAAGACAAGACAATCAAAACATCATATGAAAAAATTAGCAAAAAGATAGCACATCAAAACAAAATAGGCCACAAGATGTGACATGCATGTCACATCCATGTTAGATGTGACATGCAGATCACATCCGCGCCATCCAAGGTGAGCTTGCACACAATATGAATTATTCATGGAAGCAGTTAATCACTGGCCTCTCCATACATTGCATCTTAAAGTAATGAAATGAAAAATAATCGTATTATTATTTCATAATCACGGTTTACATGTACACGAATATGCCATATTTAATACAAAATGAAGGAAGAACTAATAATAAAATATCCGAGAAACGTTAAGAAATATAGGTTATACTATTAAGTTCAAAGTATGGAAGAACAATAATTTCAGAATAAATGATATAACAATCACAAAGTATTGTTAAATGAACCAGCAAGCAAGCTAAGTCAGGGGAGGTGTATTTTAATATCCAACAGCAGTTAATCACTGACCTGTCAGTGTGTAAATGAACATGTTCCATAAGGTACTTAATATTGTTGGAGTAAAACAAAACAGCAGTTAATCACTGACCTGTCAGTGTGTAAATGAACATGTTCCATAAGGTACTTAATATTGTAGGAGTAAAACAAAACAGCAGTTAATCACTGACCTGTATTTCAACTATATTGTATCATCTGACTATTTATTATGAGCAGGACAAAACAACAGTTAAACACTGACCTGCATTTGAACTATATTGTATCTACGATTATGTTGCTAATTCAAAAACATGTGCTTATCTTAACTTCACTAAGGAATCATTGTTTATTATAATTTTACCTGATGGTTATTTATGAATAGGTTTCACCATAATTTCCGGAGCTCTGATAGAGAATTCCACAGTGCACATTATCCTTCCAGAAAATACCAGTATTCTGTACTTTGGCGAGTACTACAATAATGTATATGTAAGTGTTTTCGATTTAAGATTATTTTTGATAAAATTTAAAATAAAACAGGAACAAAAACATAAAGCGAGGAATTTAAATATTACTTTTATGAAGTAAAATTGCAAGTTCAAGCGTCTAGGAATATACCTCGTACATATAGCTAAAATCACTTAAATTTAATACATCTGAATACTTACTAGTTAAATGTAACAGTTTTCTTAAAAAATCCTTTCAATCTGTGAGAAAAGGGTAAAGAAAATTAAAAATTCAGAACTTATTAAACAATAGAAGTTGTAAAAATGTACGTTAATTAAAATACATGTATGCAATGGATGCGCGGTTGTAAAAAAAAATCCATCTTTCAAATAGGCACTAATGATAACAATTTATGTATCTTGGTACCAATGTACTGTATATAAAAGTTTGGAACCTGTTAAATTCGTGGTTGAAAAACTTGTTGTCAGTGGTTGTTTGTACGGTTCCTTGAAATTTACAACCTACATTTCATCGGGGAAATAGATGAACATACATATATATTGTTTTCTGCTCATTTTCTCCTTTTATGCTATTTCTATTTTTCAGATACTTCATATAACTTTATAGAATTGATAAAAACAGCGCCAGTAATGACCCAGGAGGTTCGGAACCTGGCCGTGGCTAAGGAACAAGTGGTCAGTTTTGTCTGTAAAGCCTCTGGAAATCCACAACCTACGTTTTACTGGGAAAAAGACGGGAAAAAGTTGAATATACGTAGGGAACGATACACAGTATTTGACATGCCATATGGTAGTGTCTTGAGAATTGACACTGTGCGGAATACAGACAATGGTAAAACCTTTACCTGTGTGGCTGAGAATGGAGTGGGGGATCCAGCCAGGAGTACGGGGCGTTTAAAGGTTTTCCGCATTGACGGGAAAGAAAACGGTAGGGATTGCTATCGCCAAAAATTTCGTATCGCGATATATCACGATTTTTCCCCACAATATCACGATAATATCACATTTTTAAAAGCAGCTTTTAAATTATTTTATATGAAAAGTCATTACTTTTCTTTTAAAATATATATAAAAAATTTTTACTTTCTTGAAATTTTTATATTTATAAAATCAGTTATGTTTGGACAATAAGATGCAATTCTTTTCACTTTTTACAACATTTTTTATACTTTCTGTAATTGTAATTGGAAAGATTGATAAAATAAATGAATAATATCTGGAGTTTATAATATACCTAAAGACTGGTAACTAGGTCTCTGTATCACGATACGTATCACGCGACAAAAAATCGTGATATACCGGTATACCAATAAAATCGCACATACCTATAAAACGGTAAAAGACAGTTAGTTCTTGTTTTTAAATGATGAAGAGTGCATTGGACAAACTTCACTATGACTTTGATAGCGGGCGGAAATGGGTTGCATGATGCATGTGATAAATGGGGAAAAGAATCATTAAAATTTCCATTTCAAACAGCAAGGTCATATTGATATTGAAATATTTCTGTTATGGGGATTCAAGTTTGATCAATTTGATTAAAGATCGATTCACCTTATTGGGTCTAACATTTATTTTTTCGAAGAACAGCACACAAAAAGTGCCCAATGTGAGCCTTAATTATGGCCCATTAGGATTTTATTTATTCCTTTTGGAGATAGCTCTCAAGTTCATCTCTTGATATAGGGACTCGTACTTATAAAATGAAAATATAGGACAAAATCATTTTTTTGATCCTTATTACATAACTTTACTTCTTATCATATGGAGCACTTCGAGAAACATACAATAAAGAACGAAGTGTTGTACATATGCTCATGAATTCTAAAAAAAACTCTATTTCTAAACTGAACCGTCAGCTCTATATACTACTAATAAAAATGTAAACATTGAAAGCAAGCTTAAGCGTAATTTATTGGAGGATGGGGTAGGGGCATCGAGGCATTTGAATGCATCAGTGGTAAATATCAGTAAAGGGGCACATATAGGGTTTCGGTTAATTATCATATGGGCTTTCAACTCCGAAGCGATAATTTTTTGCATTTGGAAATAAAACATTCGTTGCTAATGAAATTTAGGAAAGTCAAAATTGTCAATAATTGATATTCGAATATTCGATAGGAGTATTCGAATATATTCGAATATTCGATAGAATAAATACATCTTGTATAATAAAACATTAATCTTCACTCTCCTTTCAACCAGTATAGGTTTTGTGCAATTATTTTGGAATACAAACTTATGTCGAGTTTGTTAAATGCATAACAATTATATTCTTTTTAAATGATCAAATATATGATGAATATACATAAAAATTTTAACAAATTTTTTTTAATTCAAAAGATTCTTTACTATGTTCCAGATTAATTGATCGTCTTGATAAAAATCTACACTCATAGCCCAAAAAAATTTCCTAGCAGAACAAATATCTAACAGAGAAAAATTCAAAGCAATTACTTTTTGCTAATTAATTTCCAGATAATTGTTCTAATGATATTTACATAAACAAAAGATCGATGTGTTTACTGTAAAACTCTGTCCTACAGTACAAGCTGATTGAATGTACTGGACACTGTTATACCACTAATTAAGTTTACAAATGATTGATTGATTGATTGTATACTGTTTTACGTCCCGCTCCAGAATATTTCACTGATATGGAGACGTCATCATTGCCGGTGAAGGGCTGCAAATTTAGGCCTATGCTCGGCACTCAGGGCCTTTGAGCAGGGAGGTATCTTTATCGTGCCACACCTGGTGTGGCACGGGGCCTCGGTTTATACGGTCTCATCCGAAGGACCGCCCCATTTAGTCGCCTTTTACGACAAGCAAGGGGGTACTGAGGACCTATTCTAACCCGGATCCTCACGGGGTTTACAAATGAATAAATTACTTTAATAGATACACTCTTCACACCTATAAGGTAATCCAAGCGGAGTGTCTTTTAATTTTGTACAAACTTGGTTCAATTTCTAATAAAACTTGCCAGGTTTTTCTTCTTTTCAATGCTTGTACACTTAAAAACGAATATTCGAATCATAAATTTATATTCGAATATCAACTCATCGAATGAATATTCGAATATTCGTTGACATCCCTATAATTAATTCTTTGGGTCCAAAGACATGCCCACGGGTTGTACGAATGTATTACCTTCCAATTTAGTGCAATATGCCGTTCGAAAGCCTTACAGATTGTGCAAAACTTCTGGGCAATTGCATCGATTGGAAAAATTTGTGGTATGGTAACATTCCTTGCCCTTAAATTGTTAAAAACGGACATTTAATGTTCATTTTAAGGATAATAGATCAAGATTGCACAACCAATCCATGCAAGCGGAGAGATACTAGTAGGATGAAAAAAGCTACTAATCTTGATTATTTATCTTTATTGTTTTTTTTTTCTTCAGAAATTCCATTGGGATATCCTAAAATTGTTGTAAATCCAAAGTTAAAATCTGCTGAAAAAGGGAAACCTGCCATCATGCAGTGTCAAGCGGATGCTAATGGACACAAGTTTGATATCGAGTGGTTCAAAAATGGTGTCCCTGTAGATCTGGGTGACAACAAACGGTTCACACTCACTGAAACAGGTATTTGTGTGTCATATAAATGATACATTGTAATATCAATTCAATTAAATAAAGGTACAATTCAAATTAAATTAATTTTCAGCAAAGTTACCTTTTAAAAATTTGTAGGATACTTACTTTAATGTTTAATGAAAGTAATTAATTCCACCTCAACTCCCACTAAGATTTAGGACATACTGTGGATTTTTCGGGTTAATCCTAGCCACTAAACTATAAATCTCAAAGAACATATACCTAGGGCAAGGTAAAGATTCGTAAGATTTTTAGTATGTATATGATTTACTCTCAAAATTAACGAACTAGTGAAATTGTAATTGTCCACGAACACTGACCCACTTGATTCGAAATGATTACACTGTACGTCAACCCAGCCCCCCTTTTTTGTGAGGGGTAGAAATAGGACGGAATAGAAAATACAGTGACTATGACCCCAAAAAATTGTTCTACACCATATATATCTTTTGGTCGTCGGTTCATTGACTCAATACGGGGGAACTTAATTCGTGAATTAAATAATTTACCGAGAGGAACCAGAAATGATCCTGCATCTTTTTTGTTTAAGGGGTAGAAATGATTTCCTTTTTATACCCCCGCTCCGAAGGATATATATATATATATATAGGAGATATGCCATATGGTGGGTACATTTGCGCTTAAATCTGATGTCAACTTCCTGTTTGTCTGTGCGTCTGTCCGTTTCATACATCACAAATTATCGTCGCAGTTTTCTCAGCAACTACTCATTGTAGATGCTTGAAATTTTAACACAATCTTCTCTGAGGCATGCCATATGGTGGGATACATTTTCGCTCAAATCAGATATCAACTTACTGTTTGTCTGTGCAGCTGTCCGTTTCATACATCACAAATTTTCGTCGCAGTTTCCTCGGCAACTACTCATCGTAGATACTTGAAATTTTAAAATCATCTTCTATGAGACATGCCATATGGTGGGATACATTTTCGAACAAATCTGATGTTGACTTCCTGTTTGTCTGTGCGTCTGTCCGTTTCATACTAAATTTTCGTCGCAGTTTTCTCAGCAACTACTCATCGTAGATGCTTGAAATTTTAACACAATCTTCTCTGAGGCATGCCATATGGTGGGATAAATTTTCGTGACATGTGTCTGTGTGTCTGTCCGTTTCATACATCACAAATTTTCGTCGCAGTTTCCTCGGCAACTACTCATCGTAGATACTTGAAATTTTAAAATCATCTTCTATGAGACATGCCATATGGTGGGATACATTTTCGAACAAATCTGATGTCAACTTCCTGTTTGTCTGTGCGTCTGTCCATTTCATACATCACAAATTTTCGTAGCAGTTTTCTCAGCAATACTTTAACACATTTTAACACATTTTTTTCTGAGATATGCCTTCTGGTGGGATACATTTTCGTTTCATACATA